CTGTGCAGCATCAGCAAAACTACTATAAATATTTTACCAATTTTGCACCTACAACATGTTTTTGTTCTCTCTAGCTACACACAAAGAAATTGATGTTCCCAAAATGATGTAAAATTTATTAAACTACATTATTTATTTATTACACAACCCATCTGATATTGGACTACATGTGAACATAATTTTCGGCTTACTATCAAAGAAGCTCCTCCCACAAGTTTTCATAGCACTGGATTAACTTCAAATTTCAATTTAAACAAGAATGAATCGGGTTGTTTAAAAAATGTATAGATTTAGACATTCCCTAAATAAATAAATCCATTGCCTTTGCAATTTCTCACACCAAAATTGTTGTATAAATTATTCAACCAGAATAAACTTTAATTAACCAAATAAACTATAATCGAGCTAAGAATATGGATTTATATTAGTTATTTAAATGCGGCATTGATAAATTAAACAAAAAGCAATAAAATAAAACTGAAACGGGTGCATAACATTTGTAAAATTAATGCTTTCTCAAGTTTTTAGTCCACCTTATAGTTTCCTTAGTCCAGCGTTTAGATGTTTTCCAAATATGTAACACTTCTTTTTTAGAGTGTAAAAGAATTCCTCTTTTTCGTTACGTGGGGGCGTAGTTTGGTTTCCTCCCACACTGACATCTGCCCGTTTTCAATAGTTATGCTAATGCGTTCGTTTTTCCTTCGTGAAGATAATTCCACACATTCCCATTCACCTTAGCACTCGCACTCGCCCTCGCCCTCGCATTCGAATCGGAAATGTGTCAATAGGAATTCGTTGGTAGGTAAAGAGGCATAAAGTCACATTTCAGAGCTTAGATGTTGCAGAGCAAGTATACTAAACGTCATAAGTGCGGTGACAAGCTATTGTTTGGCCTTGTCCTATTTTACAGGCAACTCGTCACTGATTGAGAGTGGTACTAGCAAGGATTGTTGAGGTAATGGGGTGGGCCATCAATCAGCTTTGTTCAGATGACACTCAATAAGATGTCTTAAATACTCGTTTGCCTTGCTGACTTACTGAAAATGACTCAAAAACAGTAAAACAGCTGCCAAGCACCTAAATTCATCTGCAATTATAATTTTTCCTGCAAAATTAAGTAAGGTTTCCAAACAAAATATATGCTTCAAATCGTACAATTAGGTTTATTTTCCTGCTGTTTATTTTCAAATGCTTTATATTTAAATTAATTAAATATCCTGAATTGTTGAAACAATCCTTAGGAGTGAAGTAACAGGCACCACATTGCATTCATTGCAAGCGAAAGGAGCATTTGAACAGCGAAAAGCAACATTTCAAATAACAAATCTTTGCAGAGGAAACAAGGAAAACTTTCGCGGCCAGCGAGCAAAACAAAAACATCAATTTGCGATTAAATATTATCGCAAACAGCATAAATTAAACAAGTGGGAGACAAAGCCAACCACAACCGAAATAGAACAACCCTTGAAACTATACTCTTCTGCTTCTGTACTGTATAGTTCTGTTCTGTTCTGTTCTGTTTTCTTATTGTTCGATGCCATCCACCACTAACACCACTGACTCGCTTATACACTCATAAACCCCTCAGTCAGACATGTGCAAATAGAGCTGATTGTGTGGGGCGAAGAAACCAAAGCATACTTATTTGGGTCATTCACGCGTACACAAATACTACGCACAACTTGAAGTGGTTCTGTGTGTTGTGTTGATGCCATTGTTGTTATTTTTGGATGTTGGCCTTGCTTTTTCTTTCGCCTAATCGACATCTTCATCGCACAAAACATGATGAAGTGACCATGGCAACATACTATATATACTTGTACGAGTACGAGTATGTAGCTGGCCTGGCCTGGCCTGGACTGGACTGGCTTGGCCTGTCAGCTGAAGGACGCTCGGCTAGACTCCGCTGTCGCGCACATTTTGTAAACAGAACAAAACAAAACAAGGCCATATCATGTGACCAAATTTGTCGATTTAATGCCCACGCATTTGGCCAAAATATCTTTTATATCGCTCTCTTAGCTGTCATTGCATTTCACAAATTTCGGCATATTAATAAAATTCATGACTAAATAATAAAGTGGCCATCGTAAAATCGCCTCCATTTGGCACACACACACACACACACAGACACACACACACACACACACACACACTCACAGACAGACCACTTGCAACTTGTTCCGGTTGCTTGTTGTCCAGCATTTTTTTTCTTTTCTTTGACTTGCCGTTTTATGCGTCGTCGCATTGCATAAATTTTGGCGCGCCAGCAAGAAATCTTACTTTAGCCAAGCCACGCATTTGTTGCACAACAATGCTCGTATATTTTAAACTGCTTTACGACTTGCGCCGTCTTTCTTCAGCCTGGGCTAGGGATGTGCGTGACTGTACGAAAAAATTATGATTTGAACGGACCTCAAATGGCTCTTAATTCTTTTTTCTCCATATGAAAATTACTCTCTAGTATGTTTGCTACTTAATGGCTTCCAAAGGAGAATGATCAAATAGTGAGCAATTACACTTCTCCTATAAACCCCTTAACAATTAAATTGGCTGAATAAGTGTTCAAAATATTAACAGAACTAATGACAGAAAAATATTTTATACATTACATTACAAATAACACATTTCAATTTGCAGACTAAACATCTACAATGTACACTGAAAAATAAATTCAAGTGAAAAATACGAAAAATTAATAATAAACAAGACTTTTTCACTCTTCAAATGCCGAATGAAAGACAACAAATAATGAACAACCTGATTTGTTTCCTGCAACAAGTTTTTTTTTTCTTAAATACTTACTACTTATATTTTTATTTTCTAAGTCAATATACTCACTATTCTTGATATATAATTTTTGTAGGCTTCAACGACAAGCAACACCAAAAACTAGATAGTAGGTATTCACAATTTGTAATTTATCAGTATCTGCAAAATCTGTTAAAACTAATTTGTTGGAATTATTTGCAAGTAATAATATATATTTATTCAGACAGGTCTGGCTACAATTGACCAAAATGCACTTAAAACCATAGTGATGGTCCCAGTGGTAGTCCCGGTATAAGAAATATATAATAATAATATGTATATATATTTCCGATCACTTCAAGAAATGGCTCCTCGAGACTTAAATATGATATTTCAACTATATTCTAATTACAAATTGATTTAAAATTTCCACGCAAATTTGAACAAATAAAGCATTTTTTTGTATGCGCCTTGTGTGATTTAAAATAAAAAAGGCAATGGCCAGTAAAGATGAGGAAAATTAGCTGACAGGTAGGAGTCAATAGAAGAAAAGTCGTGATTAGTGGTCCGTACTAGTCTTAATATATCCATGTGCCGTTACAGTTGTATGCAGTCGTAGTTAAGTTGTATCTGTCATGATTCTTGTCCAGGGTATATTTCACTTATTATTTCCGATTTTTCTTAAACTTATATTATTTTCGTAATTAACAAACATTATTGCTTTGTGATATTACATGTATAGTATGTCCTTTTTTAATAACTTTTTATAAATAAAATGTATAAAAAAAAAAATCCACAAAAGGGAGAAATAATTTTTGAATTTAATACAAATATTTTGCTGAACCTCTACAAGAAAAATTCCAGTCGTTCAATTTCAATTCTATTTTGATGTCCACTATAATGCTGCGAAGGTTTACTAAAATCCCCAATTCAGACGTGAATGCCTCTACAAATATACGAGCTTAGTCTGGAGAACTGTCGATAACACGCACTCATCTCTAATGCTCACCACAACTAATTTACGAGCATCGCACTTGGCCGCTGACCCGCATATAGTACGTACGAGTCTCGTACGTTCGCCTGCAATCCAAATCCAACAAAGTTCCGATTCGCAGACGCTACTGGTTCGGTGCTGTGTGCTCGGTAAGTCGCTTTTTTATGACCTTTAGCCGCACAAATGTGCGTATGAATTGTGGGACACCCCCAACCCCAACCCCAACCGCACCCCACCCCGCACGCCAAGATGTTTTGTGCGTCTGAAGTGTCGTCGAGCGGCGCAGCGAGTGTAAATCATATTTACAGTGGTACAATAATTGAATTAGGCCCGCAACCATCAGAAGATGGGGAACAACACCCCCAAACCATTTGTCCATAAAAAGATTCGCATACAGCGACACAGCGACTGGAACTGGGACAGTGTCATGGTCTTGAACATGGTGGAGTGGGGGGAGGGGAGTGGGGAGCAATGTTATGTATAGCTACAAAAATTTAATTAAGTACCAAAGCCTCTTTCTGACCTTAGACGCAACGAATCTCTCTTCCTTATTCAATTGTGCATAAAGCTTCCCAAAGGCATGGATAAGGCGGCAGAAGTTTGACTTCTACACAGATGCATATGTATCTACAGATATACTTACATATATATAAAAACAAAAAGTCAATAGTGCTAGTTATATTAAACTCTAGAACTGTCCAAATATGTTTATTTTCCAGTTAATTTGATGTAATGAACGAACAATTCTGGACCGATTGAGGTTTCAGAGTGTGAGTTTTCTTGAATCTAATAGGAATTGAATTCAATTAACAAGTAGGTTAGTATTAGTTGCTGAATTGAATTTGTTTTTATTGGTATCAATATTGATAGAGTGTGAAATATCATTCAATATATATTGGGTCGAGGTAAAAGCAATTAATTTGTCGGACACTATTTTTAATTTATTTAAAATGAAGATAATAATCCCTTGATGCATTAAAGCAATAGAACCTTCTAACCTAGCATCCTTAATTTCCGTCAAGTCCTTCACAATCCTACTTTTCCAAGAAAATAAATGAATGCTTATAGCACCACTAAGACGATTGCCATGAAGCATTAAAAATATATTGGTTAGCATGTGAGAAACAAAGCAAACATATTAATATAATACTAATAAAGAACATAATAAATATAAAATAATATAAATATATTAGCCCACAACCCCAAATCGAACGAACTAATTCATTCATTTAACCGAACTGCAATTAAAACTACATTTTTAGAAGATATGTACTGCTAATATGTATTTGTTTTTCGAAAAGTTATTTTCTTCTTGGCACCCTCAATACCCTCATGTAATGTACAGCAAAATTTCTTCAGATGCAACAGGTAGTGCTATTGCTGCTCCATCGAAGTGGTAGATGACCAAGAATGGATTTCTTGGTCGCACAAAGTGCTTTGTTTCTGTTGTAAAAACTTACGGGTCCTCATTGCTGGCTTTATAACGACAACGCTCTTCCCGGTGAGATCTGTATTGACATCTTCTGAGCAAACAAAGTTTCGAGTCGAGCACACCAAGTTTAGTTTGCCTGGAACCGCCCTAAGCTCGTTGACTTTGGTCGTCTTTTCCATTGTTAGTATATGGCTGTGTATATAAATTTGCTGCAAATAAATGGCACCTGACACATCCCAAAAGATATGGCCGATTTTGAGTTACTTACTGTTATTTACAATTTCATTTATTACAATTTGGATCTTAATTTATAATTCCCACAAAGCAAAAGCTTCCATTTGAACAATTTTGAAGCTTCATTCAAAGGTCTTTCCACTACCTGACATGCACTGAAAAGCCGATTCAGTTCTGAAATAATTTCATTCTGCCAGTCAATATCTGCTCAAATTAATGTCATTACACCAGAGGAATATGGAATTCAACAAGTAATAATTATATAGTAGTTCTTAAATTAAATAATTTATTCTTTACTGTGAGGGAGAATCACGAGAAGACAGACCACTCCCAAGGTTGCCCTGCACCCTTCACTTAGATCTAGATGGTTCTAAAATAGTCCTGCAGCAATTCGGTACAAGTTATTATAATTAATGATTAATTAATTTGGAATACTATTAATAAAAAAGTGCTTACAAAATGTTACAGTTTGTTGATTAAGTAAGCGAAGCTCTAATGGAAGCTGATGGATAAAAGAATTTCTAAATTAAATTTGAAAACAGAAAAAGAGTGGGTTTTCCAATAGCAATTATAATTTTATGTTTAAGAAAATTTTAAATTATAATTGGAACAAAAACATTAATAGAAATGGAAATGGAAAGGCCCATCAACACATCCAGAATGTTTCAAAATACGGCATTAAATTTTGTGTAGCATACTTTTCGCCGTCTTACCATATGGTAGGAAAATTCACCCAACTAAATCACCATATGGTGAAAATTCAGTGTTACACAAACTTAGCAACAGCTGGCTAACATTTATCCACCTAGCGGTTATTAGACGAAATGGTTGCTTGCATGGTAAGTTTTTCTTCAAATGTAAGTGTGGTGAGTAATTGTCTGCCGTGTGGTGTGTATAACTCAAACGCTGTATGTATGTCTGTAAGTTTGTGACCCAACAATGATTTATTTTGTTCGTATCCTGATAGCTGACTTATTAATTCTTTTAAATTTGAATCAATTGAATTGTAAAATGTTTATGCACAATTTGAATTACCATTGTTATATGAGCACTTTTGTAAGCCGGAAGCGGAAGCACAGCTAAATTATTTTATCTCGTCCTAATCTATAATAATATGTTCGGGAAATATATGTATTATCTGTGCTGTTGATGTATTGGCTCGGCTTGAAAAGAAAGAAAAGTTATCGTTGAGCAAATCGGAACACTAATCAAATTTGCATTTCCTTTATTGTTGTGATTAACCAATTAGTTAAACAATTTTTGGCAGACTTTCCAAAACATGTTTCTATTTGACTATATTTCCTTTGTTTTATTAAAGGCAAGAGTTTTGGTTTTAATTTGTCGTGTAACGAAATATTTAAATAATCTATGTATACATACACATAATATGTACATATTCCAAACGTTGTTTTATTGCTGGAATTGTTTATTTTAAAATATTGCTGAAAGCCATGCCTTAAACGCAAGAAGAGTGAGTGGCTTACTTGATCGATCACCAGACCTGTACCCAATAGAACAGCTTTGAATTGACGTACAAAAATAAGGCTTTTGGGGTCGTAGTTTCTTTTTTTTATACTGTTATATTTATAACCTAAATTAAACTTATAGTTAAATATAAATACAACTTAAGCTGTGTGATTAGTCTTAATTACAAATTAACATTTTTTATTTATATAAATCGTAGTTTCTGCTTGAAATTTTCTTTTATGTCAACATATATTTAAAAACCTTTCCTTTATTTTCATAAATTTATGTTTCTTTATAATGATAAGGTAAGAGGCTGCCTGGATTTCTGAATGAAAGACTAAAGCACCAACAAACACAGATTCTGATAAAAGTGTAATTTCTGCACCACATTATTTATTTTAATATTTGAGTAAAAGAATAACATAAGTTTAATTTTAAAATCTTGCATGTATCTATCTTTATTACTACGGGAGTGATTATCGAACGATCAGCGTTCAGAAATATTTGGAATACTCCCATTTCTATTGCTGCAAAATTTCCATTGCTTACATTTTATCTGCTAAGCTATAATAATAAAATTAAATATCAAATAAAACAATCGTTCCAATCTACCAGATAATGGCATAGTGCACCGATTTTAATATTATATTTTTTATATATTATACACGTATATTTAATATTATTGTAATTTGATTAGATTTATCCTTCTTATTCTTTTCTAGCTTATAAGATGATTTTTATAATTTTTATATATATACTTGTAATTTTATATTATATGTTTTCCTATGTCGACAGTCAATCTTTGTTGTTGTTAAATAAATAAATAAATAAATATCAACTTTTCGGACTAAGATTCTTTTTATGGCAATTTTATAATATAGTGATCTAATTTTTCTGACCCGCGTCCTTCTGTTTGTTACATATAGTTGTAGATACATACATATGTGCTTTAGACTTTTTAAAATAAATGCTTACCCTTTGGTTCATTTAAGAAAATATGTTTTTAATAATTTCATGTCATTATTTAGGCCTGGAAAAACATTTTCGCAGCAGAAAAGCTCTCCTCTATTTGTCTTTTTAAATGCTATATTTTTAAAGTGTCTTAAAATTATGATACTTATTAATCACTATTTGTATTATTATGTTTACAGCAACTTATGTCGACTTGATGATAAATATAGTATAAAAATAAATAGCCTGTAGCTTGTACATACATTTGTAATTCGCTTCATATCGAATTCTCTGGGAATTACCTAATTACTTGTCCTCTCCACTTGTCAACACGCTTTACCGTTAGCTTTCATCCTTTTGCGGCCGCAGGAAATAAAAATATGGGTCGCAAGGCCCGGTAGCACAGGTAGAGGATGAGCGCGTGCCGAATGCAAACAGGACGATAACGGGCGCAAACAATTTGACAATTTAATGTGACGACAATTGAAGCGTCGATGAGGCCTGGCAGCCTGCCGCCTGGACAACCGACCACATTAGCCGCCATCGATGGCGTTGCTGATGTGGATGGCGAGGGAGCCAGTCTATAATTATAATTCCATTACCGGCGAGAGAGCACTTGAAAGCGAGAGGCCCATAAAAAGCAAAAGGCAGAGGCAGAAATTAACAGTACGATGCAAAAGGTGCTGCAGATCCTGAACGATGTTTCGCAGATCCTGCGCACAAGTCAAAGACAATTGAGTGCCGTAATTGCTAAAACGAGAACGAACATTGGCCGGGCCTAATGATAGGCACTTGTGTAGCGTGGCAGGATAATGCGGGCAGGGACTTAATGTGACAAGCGCGCGCCAAGCCGACTGAGCAGGTGAATCCTACACACTCATACACACTCGCAAGTACATGTATGTATATATCCCTGGAAAGGCCAACCAAATGCGGAAGTATGCGCATTTTCTTTTGATTTGCCAGCAATGTTTGACGCGCAGTTCCTCCTCGGCCACGATACGCCTGCGCCAATTAGGCGCTGAACCACTGCAGCTGCATCGACGTCAGCGCCACCACAACCATCACCACAACCACCGCAGCCGCCACCACAAATCGATCAATTCGATGAATTAACGTCAACAGGCACACACACTCACTCACACTCACTCACACTCACTCACTCAATCTTAATGATGCGCTTCTCCCCATCTACCTGGGCATGCGCTTTATGAGCGTTGTACTCGTACCGCCCGTTTGTCGTGTTATGCGATTTTATGGCGCTCCACTCCAGGTGGGGTCGTCAATGCGCAGCCACGATAAGAATGTCATGACACAAAAGAGCAATTAACTACGAGCCTATGGCAGCGCAGGAGTGATTTAAGCCTGAAACAGATGACCAAAGCAGCAACAACAGCAACAGCACCGGCACCAGCATTACTCATTTGCATCCGATTTCCAATACACAGTGAGAGAAAATCATCATACACTGTAACCATTACACTGTGTTTTTTACCTCAAAAGTAAGTAAAGATTTATACGAAGAAACCAGTTTTTAAAAAAGAAATTAAATTCTAAACTATAACCAATACTAAAGGTTTTTGTGTTGACTAACGGATGTATATTTCAATTTACTTTTTAACATCATTTGTAATTGTTTTGAAATTAACATAAAAATAATATCAAAATATAGAGAGACAGACCGACTCCCAGCATCTAACCACTTCAACTCTTCTGCTTTGTTTGGGCCAAAATGACTAAATTGAACCTATTTTTACGAAGCTAAGACTTCATCTATTAACGAACTGCATCTAGAAAATTGTATTTGGTACTACATATGTCTATATGACACTTTAAAGGTATGTCAATCAATATATAGCAATCGCACATTTATCTGCAAATAATAATCGGCCAATTCGTCGGTTAACAATGAGATTACAAGGATCCATGCACATTTTCCGATGCCTTCGTTTTCATTCAGCTGAAGGCAGGACGACAACAAGAAAACGAAACTAGCTGGCTTCAAAAAACAAATATTTGCGACTACCGTATGGAGGAAGAAGAAGTAGAATAAATGCATCCTAGATCCTAGATAAATGCATTCAGCTCTCTTTGAAAAAAAAGCCTTGCACAAAAATATCAGTAAGATTTCCTCATCATTGTTAATATCATATCATTCGTATTTAATTCACTAAACTTAATTAAAAGTTGAAATGTCTTTAAAGTGAATATTGAATGTTAGCTTAAAAAGGTTGTTTTTTTTTTTCAGATCTAAGACTGCAGCTTCATTTAATCAGATTTAATCAAATGAAATTATATTTTTCCATGTGTAGACGCACTCATCACGTCAGAATGCTGCGGAAAACTCACCAACTCACTAGTTATTGCGCAACGGGTGTTTTAATGCCCCAGCCAGCCAGCCAGCCAGCCAAGCAGCCAAACAACCAAGGAACTAACCCAATACGCACCCGGACCGTGCGATGGAGGCGAAATGATAGCGATGCCAATGGCCAATGGCCAATGGCCAATACCCACACCAGGCAGAAGCGTTGTAGGCCAAGCAGAATGGCCGCAACGTGTGGCAGTGGCTCCTGTAAGTTGTTAACTCAACTTTATTGACGCAAAGTCGCCTACTGTCATGATTATGATCGAATAGAATAGAATAGAACAGAACAGAACAGGTCATTGGC